ATTTTTGTCATAGAAAATCCCGCATCATAGAAAAGCTGCATGTGAAACGGGACGTATCTGATACAACTTTTTTTCAACGCCCGGCCGGACAGGGTAATATGCATAGTCTCCCGTGTCGCCAATGTTAGAGCAACTTCAATGGGCCGACCCAAACGGACGGTGTTTTTGTCCGTTTTTTGTCCGTTTGGGTTGGCCTGCCGCCCGTCGTCCGCACTTTTTTAGATTTGGGTCGGCGGCGCGCCCAACGCGCCGACCCATCTCATGACTGCGCGCGCTTGAGATCATGCCAGCGGCTATGCCAGCGCGCGGGGAAATTCGGCCTAGCGTGCGCTGGCTTTGGCGCTCCAGAGCGTGGGAAATGTTCGCGCACGCATTTTGGTGCGCCACGGCCGGCGCTCGTTATAAAGATGGCGCTCCCTCCACACTCAGTCCGCCACCACCACCCACTCGTCTCGCCCCCTCTCACTAGCCTCGCCACATGTGCGCCACCATGTCGATGCGCATCCTCGACGCTTTGGATTTTCGCGGAGTCCGCGAGCGCCCCTCCGTCGCCTTCTCCGCCGAGATCTTGTTTGGCGAGAAACGGCTCATCCTCGGCACCTTCGACACCGCTGAGCAGGCGGCCCACACGTATGACGCGGCGGCATGGCGCCTCCGGCGGCCAAGACGGGAGATGAATTTTCCTGACGTGTCGAGCCAGCGGGCGCAGGATCTGGCGCCTCTCTCCATCCTTACTGTCCTAATACGCATCTTGTGCCTGGCACATGAAAATGATTCATGGGACTCGCACATAACACTTCACCATTGAAACTCCACCATGCGTATGCATCATGTGCCTTGTACAGGACACGTGAGTGTACCATCGGGCGTGGTCACATGATTGCCAGCATGTAGCAAATGTACCAAGCACATCATTCATCCTGAAACTGCTGCATCTGTGCCAGGCACATTATTCAACCTGGGACTTATCATGATTATGATACGCGGCCGAGCCAGGCACATGTTTCATCCTAATACGTAGCATGCTAATGTTTTGTGTCACGACGCGCACTGACCGACTGATTTATGAAAATGCAGATGATCGTTTACATATCATCATACCTTTCGCTACAAACTAGTAATTTCAAAAGTACTTCAAATAGTTAAAACACAAACTGTTCAGTCATAAGTGCCATCCGTGCCAACCCAACCAATACGATAATGATTATGTCCGCAACATGCAATTGTACCGTACATTGAGTTCGTTACATGGGTTTACATAAGAATAAGTCATTCATCTAGCCAACCCAAATCAACGTCATACACCGCTTGCGCCCAAAACAAGCACCCCCATACAAGATGTGCCCCAAGGTACTCCATGGTTTTTTACCATTGCTTTACTCGACTCCGCTCTCTGATTCATTCATCGATGGACTTGATAAAATGACGCGGCCTCCTTGCATTGTTCCCCTTGAGATGCAAGATGTCACAAAAGGTAATATGGCGCCAAAGATCGTTCATTGACCTGGATATGAAGGACAAATACCATCAGTCAATTCACTGAACAAAAAGAAAAAGAGAAAGTTACAACTGAAAATGTTTCGTTTTGTTTTTGTCATATCGCTACCTACAACAATGCAGTCACCACATGTATATCATGACTGGCTTGGTCACCAACGAATATCCTGCAGAAGTCATTTACCATGCAACAAAAGAACAGTGTTATTTTATTTAATCCGACTCATATATTACTATGTATGCATCAAACAAGCTAATACGCATCTTCTTCCAGAATTGTGGGCAGCTTGTTGAGCTTGTTGTGATTCTGCACAAACGAAGCAATGATTATATTTACAACTCCTTTGAAAACCATCCAGATGTGTTGGTTATGATGCTGTTACAGATTGCAAACTTATATGCTGGTGCATCCCATGATCTGAGTAGGAGTTAATCTATAATTTGATTCATGTGCTCTGTAACATACCGGAATCGATTCACCCAAAACCATCTCCCCTTGTCCCAGCAACTCCCGCCTCTGCTCAGATCCGTGTTCTCTCCATCTGCAATCTCAAATGAATCCGCCTCCCCCGCCGCCTAGCATTCTCCTGTGGAAGAGAATTCAACACTGACTCTACTTAGCCAAAGAGATTGTTCAACGCGAAATGAAAAAAAAAAAATCAAGAAATCGGAAGCGAATCGCCGCAAGGGAACTAGTAGCAGTGGTCAATGAACCCAATCGAGCCCAAATCAACAACCAGCAAGGAAGCAATTCAGCGAACACCTGAGCTGCACGCACGCAAGAATGAATGGATCAAGCAGCAGAGGAAACTGGACGCATCGTGGCGGGATGGCTGGATGATGAATCACCTCTGGTTTCGGCGAGGCAGCGCTGCTCGAAGCCGACGTCGGAGGTGTAGTTGAAGGCCCCGTTCCAGTCCTCCTGCCTGCGCAAATCACAGCCCGGATCAATCACCGCCAAATCAAAGTCGTCGGGTTCGTACGGAAGAAGAGAGCAAGTCCGGCGTGCCGTGCGTGCGGAAACAGAGGATGCTTGCATACGAACACCTGACGGCTATTGCTGCCCCAATCCCGTCCTTAATCTGGCCTGCAGAACAAGTATATCCATGAATAGTCAGCCTCCCGATATGCGCCCCAATGCCAAAAATACATCCCAACATCCAAATAACCTATGCGCATAGCTGAAATCACATGTTTACCTGTGATAGACAGAAACAATGGCCGGCGGCGCGAGATGCAGTGGGCGGCGGTGCCGCTGCGGCCTGGCTCTGGAATTCCCTGGCGGCGCGAGATGCAGTGGGCGGCGGTGCCCGCTGCGTCCTGGCTCTGGAATTCCAGGGCGGCCATACGCGCTGGATTTTCCCGGCGACCCGACCGTCCCGGCGCCTCCTCTTGCACCAGAAACTCCTTCCTCCCGCTCAGATTTGTCTTCTGTTCATACTCTGCCTCAGATGAATCCCCCACCCCCGCCGCCCAGCCTGCTCCTTGAGGTACGAGGGGGACGAAGATGGACCAGAGTCACGGGCCGCCTCCTCGAGTGTCCGCTAGTTGTCTGTCCTTTTCTCTAGCGAACAGTACCCTAATCTGTGTAGCAGGCAGATCACGGACGAAGGCGCTGCTGACCCACTCGATATAACCCTGGCCTAGCTATCTTACGGAAACGGCGGACATCTATCCCGAGGTATATGGACGAACGAGATAAGCGGGCCGGGGTGCACATGCTCTAAAATATATTTTCGCACACACATCCGATCGCTGCAAGTTGCCAGCATCAAATCAACGATTCATGTGAGTAAACCGCAGTTTATTTGAATCTGCAAAATTAAGTAACAACACAACATAAAAGGAAGAGGCTTCCCGCCACCTCATCGTAAGGCATATGGCTACAGTAAAGCAGTAATGATTCTCTAAAGGCAACTTCAGATGAATATTGATAACCATTATTTATAAAGAATTAGTGAATTAGTGTATAGCTAACAAAATTCTGTCCAAGCACTAAGGATATAACTGTAGGTAATTACTAGTAAAGTGTAAAAGGGAGTAGAACAGTTCAACGGGTATGCGAGGTTTTTAGCAGGCAATATGCTTCACAATATTCAGTAGAATACACACTGACAATGGAAGTTACCTGCGGAAAGCAGTACCAGAAGATAAATAATCAATGGAAGCAACAAAAGAGGCAATGCAACTACTTTGATTTCTCAAAGATGTAGGATTACAAATCATCAACATTGACATTTCTCAACCTTTTGAGCTAGCATGATCACATTACATGATGCACACATATGCAAACTTCTATGAATATAACATCAAACCAGAAAAAAATAGGAGACCAAGAAAATCTTAGCAATGCAAACACCTAGATAGAACCGGCCAACTCAGACTGTGGGCACACATATCAGAACATAAGCAAGCAACTATTGCTTAGCTAATCAGGTAAGACATAAAAAATCAAAATAGAGCGAAATAAAGTGTCTCAAAGGCATAGAACATACCAACTCATACCAAATGTCTCATACCCATTCATACGGCTCAGATTATATGCATGTGTTCATGTACTAACATAAACAAATCTGACTTAGCCAGAACAACCATTAACCATTGCGTGACATGAACAAAAAATTTAAGTAATCCAGGCAATAGATTGCTTCAGTAAACTTTCTTATCATTACTTTCTAGCTGTTGACAAGTAAAAAGCTATAGACAAGGGATAATACTTTCATCCTAAATTGTTGAAGCTGGAACAAAGTTAAATCGATGGTTCACCAACACTGTTGAAGCATAGACGCCAGAAATTAAACTAGATAATCCAACCACAATTTCAATTTTAATCCTTTAGAAGAAAAAACAGAGCAGGAAATTGTTCGTGCATCATCAAGAGATTATGATAATTTCTGACACTGACCTTTCTCAACCTTTTGAGCTAGCATGATCACATTACAAGATGTACACATATGCAAACTTCTGTGAATATAACATCAAACCAGAAAGAACAGCAGACCCAGAAAATCTTAGCAATGCAAACACCTAGATAGAATTGTATGTGCACACATCAGGACATAAGCAACTTTTGCATAGCCACTCAGGTAAAACATTAGAAAAAAAATTCAGATCAGAACACACTGCCTCATACTTGTTCCACATCAAAAGGCACAGAACATTCTACAACTCATACCAAGTGTCTTGTACACATCCATAGTAGAACATAAATAATTCTGGCTTAGCCAAAACAGGTACACGCGGAAATATCTCATACATCCGTACTTGTTGCCCATCAAAAGGCACAGAGCATACTACAAGTCGCACTAACACATCCATGAGGGAAACATCCAACGAGACAAATACTAGTCATGAAAACCAATGCAGATCAAACTAAAAACCAAAGTTGGCATTTCCTACAAAAAACACAGCATCTCCCTTTGAATCTTTGTGAAGACTTCACTTGAAAATGCAACGGAGTACCTCACCCATGGCTGCCCATTTTTCAATCAGCAGAACATTCATCAATTTGGAGTTGCCAGACGTATTCCTCCATCCAATGGTAGGCAGGACAGCAGTGGCACATATGGGAAAAATTGCATAAATGCCCGGTAGTCATGATCAAGGTGATATACAATTGTACTTTCATGGTGATCCAAATCGTATGCCAACAGTTCATTGTTTGAATAAGCCATGAAGATCAGATTGGCATGTGGGTGTACACCAATGACTTTGAGAAACTTCTTCTTTGGAACTGCATTTGAAAACTTGTGCAAGAAATTCCAGTACATGCATTCGTCGTCCAGGTGGGACACATCCCAGTTATAAATCTCAGCACTAAGAACGTAAACTGATATAGTCAAAGATCTGTTTGAGCTGTATCCTTGACTATCACGGGAGTCGATGTAAAGTAGCCGTCCGGCAGACTCCCCGATGAAACCTGAGAAACCCTTAGCAGCGAACATCGGCAGCAGGATGGTTCTCCATTTTACCCCTTCGGTGTCAACTATCGCCAACACAGACTGATATGTGAGCAGGTTCAAACACCCCTTACGGAAAACTCCAGGCTGACCAAAACACAAGCTAACTTGGATGTCCCATTGGGGTTCCATTTCTACCCATGCACCAGTTTCTGAGGAGTAAATCCTCACTGCTATCACAGACAGGGATTTCTTCGAGCCCCAGTTCTGGCGTGACCATTCGTGTAGAAACTCGAACACATGGAACTCTCGGGTGGACGCGCCACTGTCGAAACCCAGGTAAGCAATGCTGCTGTTGCCGGCGTGGCCATTGTGGGGCAGCAAAGTGTACTCACCGGTGGCTGGATTGGAGACCATGTAGCGAAATTTTCCAGCCCCAATAGAAATGCGGGCAAGAAACAGTCCATCGCAGGAATCATCGAAGACATGACGCGGTCCGTGCTGTCGGGCGGCAGTGGCAGCCGCGGGTGGGTCTTGGGGACGCTCGCCCACGGGAAGGCGGACAGGTCGGCGTAGTTGACGCCGGGGAAGGCCGCGGCTTCGTCGGTGATGCGGTAGAAGAAGCCGGCCAGGGACTGCACAATCTTCTTTCTGTACACGGGGTCGGTGATGAGGTCGCGCCAGGCCGGGCAGACGCACTTGCAGATGCAGAGAGATTTGTAGGGCACGCGAGAGAGGATCTCCGCGATTAGGTCGCGGGTGAGCCTGGAGATCGGCTCCTCCACCGGATTCTCCATAGCTTGGAAGGGATGGCGGCTGGAATAGGTAGGTTTCGACGGGAGATGGGCGGTGGTGGCGGCGGCGGCGGCGGCGTGGCTTTTGGGGCTGGGGACTCGACGGAGCGGGGAGCGGGGACTGACTGATGGTCTGGGATTGGGGAGAAGGCCCACGACGAAGCCTCTCCCATAAAAAAAAAAGTGGATTTTTTTTTTGCTTTGATTTATTTTTTGAAGGTTTTTTTTGCCTTGATATGAAGAGCACATGGTCTTTTTATTTCAGAAAATTTCAAAGTTGAGCTGAAAAATTGAGTTTTTCCAAAAGAAATTTGGTGTGGATTTTAGAGTGGCTCATGCACCAGTTTTTCTTTTTATTAATTAGTGGTCTGGGTATAAAAAAACATAATTGAATAACTAGCCATTGGTAAAGTGCTTGGTTTTATTTTTACTTTTTAGAGATCAAAAAAAATTGCGATTTCATAAAACTTTAGATCTGGAAACATATTTGAGTCATTTTTTTCCTAGGAAAACTTTCGATCTATTCGTCTTCAATCATGGTACAACAAACACAAGAAATAATAAAAATTACGTCTAGATCTATGGACCACCTCCCTCGCCAAAGCTGGTCAAACTTGTTTGTAGTAAACAGTCAGTAAATCATCGTGCTAAGGTTCCATAGGAGCAGCGCACCAAAACAGCAACCGTCGATGAAGAGTACCGTAGATCGGAAGGTTCCAACCTGAAGAAACACGAACGAAGATGAACGACAACCAGATCCGAGTAAATCCACCAAAGACGGGTCCGCTGGAGACAAACCTCCACACACCCATCGGAAGGGAGGCCAGGCAGGGAGAACCTTATTCCATCTTCAAGAAGCCATCGTCGTCTCATCTTTCTGAGCAGGACACAAACCCTAACAAAAATCAAAGAAACATCTAAAAACAAAGCCCTGTCACCGACAAGGACAGGGATCCACCGTGCCCCCAATGGCTCTAAGGCCACCAGAGATGAGGCGGACCAGCGATGGCGTCAACGGGAAGCGGAGGGGCCCTAATATTTTTCGGAGAGGAAGCAGCTACTTGTGGAGGCTAAACATATTTGAGCCATTTGCCATGAGACTTTTATAATGTACTCCCTCCGTTTCTAAATACAAGTCCTTTTAGATATTTCAATACAAACTATACGGATGTATATCGACATATTTTAGGGTGTAGATTCACTTATTTTATTTTGTATGTAGTCTTTTATTGGAATCTCTAGAAAGACTTGTATCTACGAACGGAGCGAGTATGAATACAAACTACATGCTCCGAATGCACCTCATATATATACTTGAGTGTTGAGTCATAGGCACAACTGTCGGGCTGCTGATTCGTGCACACGGGAGTTTGCTTGCTAGAACGAGAGACTAATGGGTAGTCCAGTACTATGAAACAGAACTCTGAAAAAACCACAGCATCCACATTGATCATCCACATTGATCATTTCTGAATTTTGACGCCTGTGCCTTACACCTACTGGAGCCTGCTGAACTGATGCCAATCAGCGAGACAAAATCGATATAATCCAGGATATTTTCAGCAACGCGAAGGGGGTGGGCTCGTGCTGGTGCCTCGCCATCACGACATCAGTACCTGTTCTTCCACATGTGCCATACAGCCAGCCCAAAAATTAAGCAGTGGAACTCCGATGCTTCAGTAATACTCCCTCCGTTCCTAAACATAAGTCTTTTTAGACATTTCAAATGAACTACAACATATACGAATGTATGTAGACATATTTTAGAGTGGAGATTCACTCATTTTGCTTTGTATGTAGTCACTTGTTGGAATCTCTAGAAAGACTTATATTTGGGAATGGAGGGAGTACAATCCACTAACCATTCACCATTGCCTGATATGAACAAAATACTGAAGCTTCAGGGAAATACCATAATCTTTCTTCACCTCTTTCCATATTTCTCTATTATATTGGCTTTACAAAAAAACAATGCTCCACATTTTCCTCTCGATTAAAAAGATGGCAATCATACCTTGTTGGGGTTGATCGCACACGAATAAAACTGCCTTCATCTTGTTAGGACATTGGATTCCCAATAGTTTTCTCCAAGCTTTTTCCATAGTCCCCTGATTTGACCGTGCTTCTTTAGCATCATCACTTCGATTTTTCCAGAGTAGTTGTGATCTGGCAAGGTTATATGCATATCTGACTGAATATATTCCGTACTTAAGTGTGAGGCCAAGAGGAAAGTCAGTACTACGCCGGGCCACTGGTCACATACTTCTTCAGCACGGCATTGACATCGACACTTCTGTCGCCGCGAAAGGACGCCTTCAAGCGACATCATCGTCGATACGCCACTGCAGCATCATTGCCGACACATCACCGCCAAGGTCGTCATCAACATGGTCTTCATCACCATAATCATCAACACACTTCCGCCGCCTTGTCCACAAGATGGACACCTAGCGTCCTCTGACAGACTTTTCTGCAAGATGCGACCTCGACGATGGCAATGACCGCGTCACGACGACGGCATCGACCGCGTCATCCACGACGGCACGACTGCATCGACACGGCGTCACTACAGTGACGACCCCACACGGCCACATGGTTCTGGCAAAACCGATGTGTGCTCGATGGGCTTCCTCCGGTCTTGGCAAAACCGGCGGACTCATCGCCGACGGCACCCTCTGACATCCGCAAGGTGCATTGTCCACGTCTGCAGCCCCGTCATAGCGCATTTTTTTGCGCCTCCGGCTTTGTGCGGTTTCATCATCCACGACGATCACACCATCGACCACGGCTACATCACCCTGACCGGCTACCTCGACATCGACCACACGGCTACGTCTACAGCAACTCATCGGCAACAACTCCAGTCAACAGCGTTCGCGTCATCACTAGCGTCCACGCCATTCCCGCTGTGACTGCGGGAGGGAATAGAGGAGAAGGCATGAAGGCACCAGAAGGGGACGCAGTCACCGCCCTAGGTGCCAAGCCATCAGAGACGCAGTTGATGATGGCGCAGCGGAGAAGACGACGAAAGCACAAGAGTTCAAATTCAGTCGTCATCGTCCGCTTCACTCCCGCTACGACTGAGGGGGAATGTTAGAAGTATAATTATGTTTAAATTAGAGGTTAGGAGTTAGAGATAGGATTGGTTCAAACCATGTACGACTTGTCCCCTACTCCAAGTCTCTCTCACATATTGTACTCTATATATCCCACACTTGGGTCAGATCAATACAACAACAATATTCATCCATCTCATATTTTCCACAGTGAGTACAATAAGATATAGGTTAGAGCAACAAAGGGAGTATACAGTTATAGTAGTTATACTGTAAGTAAAATATTGGCATCAGTACAATTGCTCTAATTCTAGCAAAAATAAGTGTCAGTGCTAACCTTAACAAGCACCAGCGCAAAAGTGGCAACCCTAACACATTCTTATGTACTAGAAAATGTTTAGTTCTACTCTAAAACAGAGTGATCAGCGCAGTAAAACAGAGTGGCAAGTCCGACTTTTTTGAATAGCCTGAGAAAGCAGGACTTGTACATTTTGTTTTGCACATTGTCCAGCAGAGACGAGAGTACGAGACCGCGCTTACGAAGGCTTGCAGTTTTGTAAACCCTCCTTATCATTACTTTCTAGGTGTTGACAAGTAAAAAGCTTTGGCTCAGGGATATTATTTCATCCCAAATTGTTGGAGCTGGAACAGAGTTAAACAGATGGTTTCCCAACACAGTTGACTCATGGAACGAGACATCAGTACAGTTACTTTAAGACATAGGTTAGAGAAAAACAAAAGGGAATACAAAGTTATAGTAGTTATACCTTAAGTAAAATACTGGCATCAGTACAGTTACTTTAATTGTAGCAAAAATAAGTGTCAAGTGCTAACCTTAACAAGCACCAGCTCAAAAGTGGTAACCCTAACACATTCTTATGTACTAGAAAAACCAACCCCATTATTTTACTAAACATGTGCTCTAAAATGCTTATTTCTACTCTAAAACAGAGTGATCAGCCTGTTAGAAATATAATTGGGTTTAACTTAGAGATTAGGAGATAGAGATAGCATATGTTTAAACAACATGTAACTTGTCTTGTACTCCAAGCCTCTACCCCTCATGTACTCTATATATACCCCACACTTGGGTCAGATCAATACAACAGAAACAACACAATATACATCCATCTCATAATTTTCTACATGGTATTAGAGCGGTTAGTCTCTCGACGCCGATCCTAAGTTCCTCTACCACTTCCGCAGCGCGCCGCCCCCGGGGAGATTAATCTTCTCTCCCCGGGGGCGCGGCATCCGATCATCAAAGATAGATCGGTTCATTAGATTAGATTCAATTTTCGAATTCCCAATCTCCATCTAGTAGATTATTTTTTTAGTCACCAAATAAATCTCATAGCCCTTATATTCCAGTAAAAATCAGTGCAAGTTCATGGCGGCGATCATGGTGGCTCAACCAGGCGCTGCTGCATGTGGCCGGCTTCAAGTTGGAACTCCACGGGCGCAGGCCAGGAGGGCCAGCCCCGACAGAAGGCTTTGATCAAGCAGCACCGGCGGCTTCGTTCGATCCGATCTCCAACGCCAGCTCACCTCCAGTCTTGCACCGATC